TTGCGGGATACCGGGGACCGGTGGAGGTCACGTACACTTACACCTCCCATTTGAGGAGTCCCTCCATGATGGCGAGTGCTTCCTGCTCGTACGTATGGTACGCCTTCTGTGCAGAAGAGAATTTCTTCGACAAGAATCCTGCGGGCCTGCAGGTTTGCCAGTCCTTGCCCTGGCTGTACACGGCCCCAATTCCGTAGATGGAAGCATCGCAGATGAGCCAGATCGGCTCGGGTAATCGAGGGTCGATTGGCTTGAGAATGGGCACCTTACACGCCAAGGCTTTGATAGCTTCAAAACACTTGTCATGTAGCGTACGCCATACGAATGGTTGGTCATTGCGGACCATCGCAGACAGAGGCGATGTATACGCCGTGACATCAGGCATGAAATGGGCTAGGTAATTCACTAGCCCTAGGAACCGTTGTACCTCATGGTACGATCGAGGAGTGCGCCAACTCCGAATACGACTCATTTTGTCGGTATCAGCGTGTAGTCCGTGATCGTCGATACGATGACCAAGACAATCTAAGTCTTTCGAGTATAAGTCGCATTTACTGCGACTTAGGAAGAGCTTCGCCTTCCGTAATACCTCGAACACCTGGGCCAGGTGTTGCTCATGTTCTTTGAGCGTGTCCGAATAGACGAATATATCGTCTAGGTAGACATGTACGAATCGTCCGATAAAATCGCGAAATAGCGTGGTCATTAGACGTTGAAACGTCGAAGGGGCATTCGTGTCCCCCTGTTGCATGACTTCGCTCACGAACGTCCCGAAGGGCGTCGCAAATGCGGTTTTCCAGATGTCTTCGGCCACAATGCGCACTTGTTCGTACACGTCGGACAGGTCTATCTTAGACCGATATCGGGCCCGAGCCACATCCATTCGGATCTGGTCCTGGTCCGGGAACGGGGTCAAATCGTGGACCGTGTTGTCGTTCCTCTGTCGTGCATCGACAACCGTTCTCAACTTGCCATTCTTCTTGGCCACACATAGCAGCGGTGCTGCTTGCGTTACCGTGGCCGGCCGCCACCATCCCGCTTTCACATAGCGGTTGATTTTTGTCATTAGATCAGTCTTGATCGCGTCGGCGCACCTAGGCAGGTGGTAGCGGTAGATCTTCTTCTCGTCTATGAGAGGAATCCGATGATTCACTTCTCGGAATGGAGGGAGTTCCTCCGGAGCAGGACGCATGATGTCCTCAGTGGATTTATACCACTTCTCGCGGAGTTTAACCAGCTCCTTCTCGTCATCGTTGATGACAAACCCGACGTGAGACCGTCGGATTTCCTCGTACTCCCATGCATCGCTCGCTATGCGATCTAGCATCTCATTGACCCCATATGGGTCATCGAATCCAAAGCGGTCCTTGCGTGGACCCTTCGACGAGTGAATCGTCGGTACTATGCGCTCTGTAATTACAGGAGCAGAGCTGGTGACGGCTCGCCCTTGGTGTCGAACCGGAATTGTCACGGCCATATTGCCGTTCCCTCCCCCTTCCGATGACCCTTGCGGTCCTGCATAGCGCGTATGGGGAGGTTCCACTTTTGTGGACTTCGCCATGCTCCCCTATTGGACCAACGGTCCGTTCTCGGTTACCCACTTGATAGGTTCCTTGAACGACCGTTTTGGTGTCTTGGAGGAAATGGCCTCCTCCTTGAATAAGGGAATGCTCTGCTTCCCGACCAACACCCGGTCGTTTGCAAAGTCCAGTACAATACCGTACTTACGACAGAATACTGTCCCCAATATTGTGTCGTACTTGTCGATATCGACGACATCGAATCAATGTGTATTATGCACTGAGCTCAGTGCGATTTCGGCTTGCGCCCCGAAATTGATCTTCGTACGACTACCCTTAGTCCCCAGCTGGAGGCCTACTGGCTCCTGCAGGTCAATCCTGCCCGCCTTGCACAGATACGCAAACTCCGGAGTAATGGAGTCGGTAGTGCAGCCCGAGTCGAATAGCACTAATGCTTTAATACCGTTGATCGGTATCTCCGCACATAGCGTGCGTTGAGCCTCGTGTACCCGTTGGGGTTGAGCCGCCGGGTCCTCAATCTTGCGGACTTTTGCGTCATAGATCCATGCGTGACGCAGACCGCGTTCATTGGCAATAGCCATGCTGTGGATCCTTGGCTCATTTGCCGATCCTTCTGAGGCGATTGCCTCAACTTGCATGCTTGCCATATACACGGTGTTGTCGTGTTCGAAATCTTCCCATTCCGACTGGACTTGTTCGTCCGCAGATTCGTATTGCGATCCTACGAATTCGAATTCAGACTGAGGGAGGTCCTGGACCGTTTCGGCCTCTGGATCCAGTCCCTGGGTGTCCTCCGGAGTGCCTGCGTCGTCGGCCAGGTCGAACTCGACCATCTGTGTCTCGATGGGTGCGTCCGGTTGTTCATTGTCCGAGGTGTCGTCCACTACCCGTTGCGCGAACATGCGCTGACCAGGAGTGGTCTTCTTGCCATGGTTGGGGCAAGCCGGGTCTGATGCGAAATGCCCGATTTGCCCGCATGAGAAGCACTGCGATGCTGCCTTGGTGGCTGCAGGCTTCGGGGCGGAACAAGATACCTGCCCGGGAGTGGGTCTTGGTCGATCGGTGCGACCTGGAGCCGTACGAGACGGACCCTGTCGCCTTACGGTGGACGAATTCGTCCTAGGCGAGGGCTCCGCCGTGGGGGGTCTTCGTGGCTGGGTGTTGTTCAAACGGGTGGTGCGATGGTCGTTCGACGACGAGGGATTGTTGGTTCCCGGGGTGGTGTCGCGGATGCGACGGCGTTGTTGTATCGCCCGGGAACTCTGCTCGATCTCGAGGGCAGCCTGATAAAGCTGAGATAAACTATTATATTTAACGGAGAGGCCGTTAAGTACAGTGAGAGTATTCTCATAGCTGACGGGCAACGTCTCGATAAACTTGCAACATATCTGGAAGGGAGAGGGCTTCTCCCACATCTTCTCGGTGATGTACAGTAAGTGTTCGTACAACGCGGCGACACCGCCCTTATTGGGCTCGAATCTCAGATTATCATACTCCTGAGAAGCTTGGAGATGATTATCTCGGTGGATGAAACGTCGGAATAAACCGACTATGGCTTCCTCGAACAACCACTCCCGACGTTCACGGGAAGGAGATTGTACCGTATTGTACAGCCAAGTGGCCGCGTCGTCGGCCAAGCAGTCGCCCAGTATTCGTAGACGATCCACCAGCTGTGGTAGTCGTAATGTATTATAAACCGTTCATAGGCCCGCGGCGCATTACATTATAAACCGTTCCGGTTCGTAATGTATTACAAACACCCCGGGGGCCCGAGGCATGTGCCCGGCACCTGCCAAATATGGCAGGCAGCCCCGGAAGCGCTGTTATCAGTGCCCGGCACTGTTCCCGGGCTTATCTATCTTAGATTATGCCTTTATCTCATCAATCCGAGTTCCCCGGACATTCCGGGAGCCCCTCCCACCGGCGCTTTGGCCCCCGCCCCCGCCACTTCCCAATTAGGCAGGTGTACTCAACACCTGCACCTGGGGCACATTGCCTGGCTCATATTTCGCTCAATACTTATCGCATCGGGTTGAAACCGGGTGCGTTCTGTGCGTATCTACGAGGGCTACAGGATGGAATCTAAACGTCCAAAATCGGATATGTATTGGCGGCGCTACATCGTATATTGATGGCTACTTTACAGAAATACTGCGCGGGCCATAGCACGCCCGGTACCATACGCGCCGACATGCATCCGGTATCCCTGGATAGCGCTGAACAGTGGCCTTCGAACGCGCACCCTGCGGTGAGAATCGGACCACGCGTTCCAGTTCTGTACCTGGTCCACATGGGCAGGTGGTCGTTTCCGGGTTCCCGGGTCATATCCTGGCCGTATCACGGCGGATCTGTACGTATATGGGCTTGTTTTAAAGCTAAAACTATTACAAATATTTAAAAAGTTAAAACGTAGCTGCGCGCATTCTTAGAAGCGACGTGCAGGGCCAGGAAAGGGGTTACACCTCAAGAAGCCTTCATGGTGGATTTCCAGAGTGCATAGTATCTCCATGCAATGAATACCATACCACTGGAAAGCTACAGCTCACAGATTTCCAATGATGTACAATGCAATACAGACTCTCCGCTTGATGCATCTTTATTAGGATGCCTCTCTCCTCATCCCTCCCAACAGTCCTCCTTGTTCTATAGCACCATGAATGGTTTCTTTGCTCGGAAAACCATCTTGAAATGTATTCCCAATCATTTAAAGATTATACACAGTCTTTGGGAGTGATTTGCCTTTGTACGCCATATCAGCTCAGTTTATTCCTGCTTTTTCGCATCTTCTGCACTATTATGGGCGTAGCTCCTCCAATTGACCGCCGATTGGGGTGCTTCTTTTTTCGTATTGTGGCTACAATATGTATGTATATGTCCATCAAGTTACAGGGCTCCGCCTGGGGTTCTCATGACTGTATGCTCTTATCAGTGTTCCACTCTCAGTACATTGCGTCGCGCTGAATAGGGGGCCGAATAAATTTAAAAAGGCCGATCTTGAACACCCTATCGGCCGAGAGCCCGCACACAAAAAATGAAGGGAAACGAGTAAATATTGAGGGAGATATAACAAGATCTGTTGACACAGGGGATAGCCGCCGACCGTCTTAAGACGGTGTGGGCGGCAGTGCTGTGACAGTGCCGGAATCCGAGGGCAATATAAGCAGTGCTACAGCAGGGCAAGGCTGTAGCACTGTAAAATCGCTATCTTGACGAGTTTTCCACCGTTTCCTGAGCTTGTTTTTGCGTTGTAATGTGGTTCAAATGCTCTATATAATTGTTGAACCAGATCAGACATAGCTATTCTAAGGGGCCAGATATGAAGGTATAAAAGCCAACACTGATAACACTCTACCGGAATTCAAACATATTCGATTGTGCTGAAATTTCATGAACGTATTCTCAGACCTATAATGCAGCTGCACACCCAATTTGAAGGCGATACGCGGTGAGACGAGAACGCAAGAGGCATCTCTCTCACCAGCAGCTGATTAGCAGTCCTGGCAATGTTTAACCATATAGAACGCAAAAATCACTAATTCCCTGTAAAGCGCCATATTTAAGCTTTGTTTCAAGCTCACGAACATAGAAATCTGCCGTGTTTTGGGCGAGATATGGCCCAGTTAGGCCTGCCCAGCCCCTTGCTAGAGGTGGACAGGCCGCCGAGCTCGATCGGGTGGCCGGATCTTTGCCGCAAATGGCGCGTTCGAAAGCCACTGCTCAGGGCGTTCTGGGGATACCGAGAGCGCCTCTGTGCGTGAGGAATCGGGCGCGCTATGATCCCCACAGTATTCCTGTAAAGCGCCCATTAAAGCACCATGTAGCGCCGCCAATACATACCCAAATGTTGACGTTTAAACGCCGGTTTGTAGCCCTTGTAAATACGCACAAAACGCGCCCAGTGCGACGCTCAGGCGTGGATTAATAAGTGAGCTATGAGCCAGGCAGTTTGCCCTGGGTGGAGGTGTTCAGTATACTTTCCTAATTGGGATGTGGCGGGGCGGGAGCCAAAGCGCCGATGGGAGGGGCTATCGGGATGTCCGGGGAGGTCGGGTTGATGAGATAGAGGCCTTATCTATAAGAGATAAGCCACTGGAGAGTGCCGGGCACTGATAACAGCCCTCCCGGGGCTACCTGCCATATTTGGCAGGTGCCGGGCAGATGCCTCGGGCCCCCGGGGTGTTCGTAATACATTACGAACACGAACGGTTTATAATGTAATGCGCCGCAGGGTTATGAACGGTTTATAATACATTAAAACTACAACAGGGGCTGGACGATCACGGTCCATGGAAGGGCCAGTTATCCGGAGTGTACGGAAAAATTCGAGGAGGTTATGAAACCAAATCTCGAAGGCGTCGAGATCATCCTTGCCCGCATACGGCTTCGGGAGGGTCATCTTCGTGACCTTTAAATAGGCCGGCGGGCTGGAGGTAGGTTCCTCTCCGACCATTTCGTCAATCATCCCAAGAAGCCGTTGGACTTCACGGGTGTCGCGAGGTCCGTAGCTGGGACCGGTGTACGCCAGCTCCTCGGACCGGTTTAGGTCCTGCTCAGGGACAACTGGAAGTCCGGGGTGTACAGAGACACCAGGGGCCATGGACCGACGCGGTCGCAGTACGAACTGTTGGGGTATCGCCGTAGACGTGGCAGGTCTATGATCTCTCCGGGGAACCTGCGACGCCGATTCGTACTGATCCCAGTCCGGAGGTGCGGTGATGTTCGACGGTTCGAACTGTCCGAAAGCTACGCTTCGTCGGGGTTGCTCTGCACGAATGGGTGCGGGGCCTCCGGGAGCGGGGGATACGATGCGGGAGGGACCCGCTATGGGACCGACTTGACCAAGTCCAGCCCGGCGTAGTCGTTCCACACGATCGTACTCCATTTGTTGTCGGCGCACCTCACTGGGTGTTGGACTCGGGGGGCCAGCCAGATGGGCCTCCACCTGAGTGGCATCAATAACGTCCTCGACGTTATTTCCGGGACCCACTGTATGGTCCGCCCCTTGTTGGGCCATCTCTCTCATTTCTCGCTCGAAAGCAGCGAGCTGGTCATTGAGCTCGGCCTCCGCGAGCACGACTTGCTCTCTCAACGCCTTATAGCGTTCCGACGAGTCGCGCAGGAATCCTATGATTCGTAACACGGGCGCGGGCTGAATCGTTTCTCGCCGCTGCGAGTTCTGCCTAATATCGGCCCAGGTATCACCAATCTGCTCGAGATCCTCAGTAAGATTACTGGTGGATCCGGGACGCGGAACGTCCGTAGTGGGGGCCCTGGGAGGCTCGGCATGTTTGGGAATGCCCCCTGGGGCCGAGCGTACAGACCCAGTGCGCGACGGTGCGCGCGGAGCCTCGGGTTCCAGCGTATTACGTCGTGGCGAATTCGCAGGAGCTGCCTGCGGCACTGAGGGTGGATTGGGCACGAAACTTCGTGCGGGATCGCCCCGGGGAGATGGGGGTTGGCCCGAAGGCCCAGGAGCCGCGGTTGGCGGCGGGTTTGCGTCGCCCGAAGTGGCAGGTTGCGAAGAACCTGGTTGGTTGCCAGGGGCTCGCTCAGGGCGGCTGGAAGTTCCAAAAGGCTGCGTGGGGTCCATATCAGGACGCTGTCGTAAGGTGTCCGAGTTCTGATGACGTGGTGACGTCGAGCTCTACTGATGCTTTGAACGAAGGTTCGTTCTCGCGGCTAGAGTAAAAAAGTGTAAGTATACGTGACCTCTACCGGTCCCCGGTATCCCGCAAGTACTCTGGACCGGGCTGTATTGCTCAGCGTACTCGTAGGATGGTGGGGTTGGTAGAAGTCAACCCCACCAGACGCCCAAGGCCCGAACCTTGGGGCGTCGTACGCTTACGTAAGATACATGATGTAGCCCATCTAATCTAAGGGCACCTATGCGCCCTGGGTCTCCGAGGTTCTCGGAGACATCGGTCTCCTTTACTGATGACGGTTACTCGTCCTCCGCGCACGACCTATCAAGGTCTGGTTATGATAGAACCGACGGGTTCTTACACAACAACTGCTGACCCTCGCGCTCGCACCCACGGACAGCCAGAAGCCATCAGATTAGTTGAGGTTTACCAAAACCTTGCAACAACTACTGGTGCCACAACAACACAGGAGACGCACGCACACAGGACAGGACTTGTCAGGATAGTTGGGCTCCAGCTGGGAGTTTTACGACAGCTACTGACCTCGGACAAAGAAGACAAGCACACGAGAACACTGAAGCTGCCAGACTAGTTGGGGTTCACTGGAACTTTACAACAACTACTGGTACAAAGACAGAAACATGACACGTCACTCAACACACCACCGTAGGGCACATTGACACAGGGTCCACAGCAGACACGTCACTTGACACACCACTCAGGGTGTGTTTAATACGGGGTCTACAGCCAGGAAGACACATCACTTGACATACTACAGGGTGTGTTTAATACAGGGTCTAGAAGACAGGCACTCACAGCCTTACGCAGCCAGCACGCAACACTCCCAACCAGTATAGGGGAGACTCTGCCCAGATACTCAGGGCAACCACCATCCGAGACTTCCGCATAGGTCTCAGTACACCACAATCACCCACACACCACCACACAAGCAGTTATTCAAGGATCATAGCCCGCCTGGCTTAGTCACGAACTCGGCGAAGCCACTGTTGGAGAAGCAGGAAACCCCACACACTTTGCGGCAGCATCAGGGAATCAACATCACCCAACCCCTCACCCCTTTTCACCTACCAATCATCCGATTCCCGGATAGCATACGACACCGTCCTAGGGCTAGATTGTATTAGTTTCTTTGTTGTAGGCATTACCTGGTTGCGTCAAGTCTAGCTCCGCAACACCAACTTGCTATGTCACTTTGTGCTGGTCTGTCCCTCTCGTGTGCAGGCTTGACCATTGATTTTGCTTATTTTGCCCTTGTGGAGGCCCCTGGTTCCTACTATGCTGCCCCCATAAGTCACTCTTCTCATTGCGCTCTGGTAATCTACTCAATATCTATAGTGCACATCAGTACACCTTGTTTAATTGTAGCACTCTCACATTAACTTGATATATATACATACTATATCTTCAAAGTTGTTTTCTCATGCACCAGATGCATTATAAAAACACTGTAATAGAGAGATACCAAGGTGCTGTAAGACCTCACATGAACAGCTACAAGACACTGTAAGACGCTGCACAGAATTTTGTATCCTGCTGAAACCTGCTGGGAGGTGTCCTTACAATGTGCTCACACATACAATGGGACTCTAGTAGAGTCCATGGCCGTTCTGCAATACTTTGCTGTGTGTCACTGGTGCTACATCATGATATGTACGCTGCATTACACTGCATCCCAAGACCCCCATTTACTGATGGAGCAGAATGTACCTTTGTTGCCAAATGTTAAGATAGGGCAACAAAGGCAGACAAGGCAGCCTATATAGTACTGGACCAATCATATATAAACAGACCACAACATTGGTGTTGGTATAGTAAACCAAAAAGGAGGTGTGCAGTAACCAAACAGGGAGCAGGTGGGATGCAAGTACAAAAAGTTGGCAGGAAGAGGGTGCTAGTAGAGTACAGGAGCCAAGTAGGAAGGGTGTAATGTCAGAGTGGGGTTACACATGCTCTCCACAAATGCAAAATACTACTTTGAAATACTGTACTTGCCCAACCAACCTGGCGGGGGGTCTGGGGTGTGACAACAGGTCTGTAAGGGCATTAGTACTAGGTTAGGGTTACATATATAGCTCGAGTGCCCATGCTTCTGGTTCACTAGTCTTACTACCACCATGTCGCTACACCTGTGTTGCTCTCCACTATAAAACAGGATCTAACTCAGCTTGCAACACCTCAAGACTCACCCACCGCCCCCAGACCTTTCAAGGTCCTGAAGTGGCGCAACTGCAAAAAGCAGTGCACCCAGCCATGATGGTTACAATTGATGAGGAACGAAGAAATCATTTCTTATGGGGTGACCTTCCTGCCAACTTGCATGTCGGAAAGTTGACCCCGTGAGAAAAAATTACTTACCCATCATTAGCTTTCTGATAGGCGCCACATACAAAATTTTGTAATGTTCGCAGGGTTAGGGCTGGATTCCAATAGCACAGCTTAGGGTTAGCCTTAGATCTGTTCTAATCACAATTCTTACCACATCTAAAGCCTCTCCCCTGGGCGCTTGTGTAACCCTAGGTTGCACAGCACATCTGCCGCTCACTGCACACTATGCCTATAGGCTATGCACTGTACCAAGAGACACCCTTAACACATGATATAGTGTAGTTCAAATACTATACCCTTAGTTTCTTTGCAGAGCTATGATCTAGTAGTAGTGTTTGTATGCCATATGCAACTGAGAGAGGCTAGTCAGCTATCAGTTGACGTATTATGTACTACCATAGAGCATCATATCTGTTTTTGTATGTCATCTACCATTGGCGGTCACTGGAGCAATTGATCCTCAACTGATGCATGCATCCTGGCTTGGAAAAAAGGTAGAAATGAAGTATGCCTTGGATTTAGAGTGCAATATGAGAAAAATGGAAGCCATAATAGCACCATGGTGTACAGCTTGTGAAGGGCTTTTATATATAGTATGATATGTGCTACATGGATGAGATCTGGTGAAGTAGTAAAGGAAATATCATCATGAAAAGACTGAAATCCAAGTATTTCCTTGATTAACAGACCAATTAAATCTGCTTCAAAACCATGGTAGCACCCTGTGGTAGAGCTTGTAAAGGGCTTTTTGATGGTATATGATATGTGCTATATAGATGAGCACTGGTGAAACAGCCAGGGAAATACTGCCAAAAAGTGCCTGCTTTTCAAAAATTCTTTCTAGGTACCACGGGCGCTAGTAGATCGCGCTGGGCCAGCGCGATCTACTAGCGCCCATCGGACTTCACCAAATCATGCTTTGGGCGCTTATTTGGCGCACCAGATCAGGCTTTACAGAGCCTTCTTTCATTAACATTGTTTGTCCATTTCTGCACTATATAATGCATAAAACCCTTGAAAACCATCTCCATTGTATAGAGCTCAGCCAGCAGATTCCAATGGTACATAAATCACCATTTATTGGTAATCAGGGTACCTCATCAAACACGATTTTGTTTATTTTTGTGTAACTCTATTGCAACTTGTTGATTATCTGCTGTGAAAGCCAAACATTGACTAAGTTGATGACTTTAGATTGAAACATTATCTTTCATATTAGCATAAACACAATACAAAAGACACAATGTAAATAGCATCACAATTGGCAGAATTGTGGGCTCAACACCTGTTTTAGCCTTCTGGTTTACAGGAGGTCTTGAGTTTTGAACACTACAGAGATAAGATAAAAACGTGTAAGTGTCACCATCAAGTAGAGCTCTTATATAGCTTTCTGATGGTATATAACACATGTATATTTGACAAAGGGATAGCAGAGGTATCCACCCATCTGCACTTCTGTAGCCCATTTGTCAATGATGCTAGTCAAATTGGAGCGGAGATTGAATTCTGCCGCCCGGCATACGCCTGGGTCGCATTTTCCGACCCAGGCGTATGCCGTGCGGCACGGTCACGTGACTCTACTGTGACCTGTGTGGCTCCGAGCATTTATGTCTGACAACCTCACATGATGTTCACCAAATCAAACAAAAGTGGTATCAACAGAAAGCTATGGATCAGGAGAATATAATGGGGGTATTTGTGTGATATTCTGAGCACATCTGTGGGTGCTAGGCACCAAATAACCCACTATAAGTGACTCTGGGTCACAATTTGTCACTAATGGGGATCAGTGTGGGCCTAGGTCAGTGTTTTCCCAGGCCTAATATGAAGTGTTATATACTGTCAGGTTCAGAAATTTGAGCTCTACACAATGACGTTGTGTGTAGGTCAATGGAATGCCATTTGAAGGCATACATTGAAGTAAAAATATGTTCAGGTCCAGATAATGCCACTTCTTTAATGCATTTCCAACACTATCTTCTGCCCTGTATAATGAAAATGCCTTGAAATGTAATAATGAAGCTGGATAGATGAAGTGGTGGGTATAAAGGACCAGGTAATGTGCATACACTCTGGCAATGACCTCCAGCCACAATCAGTGTTTGATGCATCAAAGCTTGTGTATTCTATATAAAACCATGAATATACTACCATTAGATACACATTAAAACCACCTTTCTAATGATATATAATAGGCCTGTATTGTGGTGAAGAATGAGCCAACAGTGGGCAAAATGTGTTGCTGCTTGCAGCAGTGGCTGAGAATAAACAAGACCACATTTAGTGGCAGGGGAGCAGTGCTCTGTGTTCCCCTGCCACAGAATGTGGTCTTGTTTGGTCCCCATCACAAATGTCTCAATATCTTGGCCCCCCCCCCTGGTCCATATGCCACAATACATATATCGACAGAAAGCTGTGGATGAGCAGAGTCTATATATTCAAAAGTAATCTGGATGTGGCCAGTGCAGCTACCACTATTCACAACACCAGATCCTATCAGTGCCACAATTGGAAAAAGCGCCCAAGACACATGACCTGATGAGGTCATTGCCTCACCTCCAAGTGTGATATACCACCAGGTTCAGAATTGTGATCTCTATTT